TAACTCCCCAACCTGCAAGAAAATTATTTGATACAAAGGATTCCAAAATGTCCTCCTCTCCCCCTACAAGCCTGCAAACAAATGGTACAGGAATGAGGTCAGAAAGGAATTCCCCGCCTACCAGGCCCCTGAATTCATTTACCTACCTCAGAGCCCATTCAGGGGAAGGGGTGGGACTGGGAACAAGAGCCCCTTGGAGGCCAAGTGGAGTTTGGGGGTCGAGCGCTACATTACAAGATCTGACAGGCCTTTGCCAGCCTTCAGCTTCTTTGTGTCTCTCACATAATAGAGAAACACAAACTGAGCAGCACACGATCTGCGGTTACACCCTTGGACCCAGCGCACTCTTTGCAAATGCTAATAGTATTGTAGCATCCTGTCACCCAGGAACACAAAAAAAGGATGTTGATTTTCACATGAACCAGAACACGCCCATTGTACACAAGTTGGTGACCAACTTGTAGTATCTGCACATCAAAAGCCCAGCCAATCACAGGGCACACAGCTGGTGAACTGCCCCGATCGGGCTGCCTGGCCCAGAGAACAGATCCAAATGCCCTGTCCCCCGCTGCAGTGACAAAACACAGGACTTTTGAAGTGAATGGGCCCACAGTTTCAGGGTCCTGATTCAGTGATGACCAGAGCAATTGGTGTAATTAGCAAGAACAGCAGTGTCTCAGATATTTAAAAAGAGAAATCTGAATGTATGAAAATGGGAGTGGCTTCATGCTTCTGCCGAGAGTCTTCAACACAGCAGAGGCTGCAGAGGGTAGGGATGTTCAACTAGGCGTGCACACTAGTGGGTACCAGAGGAACAGAGAAGCTCCCAAGAATGTTGGCAGCGAAGTATTTATTATCTGTTTCTAATAGTCCTGGGAAACTAGAAACTCTCAGGGCAAGAAAATTAAAGAATATATAAGGTATTCCCGAAAATAAACTTATTAAAGATTGCAAAGGTTTCTGTTAATAGCTTTTGGAAAGTGTTTAAGGCAGTCAAAATTTGGAAAAATAAAATATTCAATTACGGTTTTGAAAACAGGTAAAATTAATTCTGTATCTTAATAGTTGGGCTAACTCAAAAAGAGAGGATCTGTAGAAGTGAAATGGGAAAATTGTTGAGTATTGATGTTGAGGGAAAATTGCGGAGTATTCATTTCCACTCCTATAACTTAAGGTCTGGGTTAGCCCTGAGATTAGAACCCCCCTGAATCTCAGTATCACCTTGTCTCGAAGGGACCTGTAGGGAACCACACATCCCTGCAAGGCTTTCCATTCCCACGATGCGGCAGAAACCTCATATAAATTAGGGAAAGCCACCCTAGGGCATTTCTGTCAAGTTAGCTCAAGTTGCACTTTCTAGGTATATCAGTGCCCTAATATCTCAGACTTGATAAATAAGTTCATTTTCCTAAAAGTATTTTTGAGAGCGAGCGAGCATGCTTTGGACAGTGGCTTGTAACCAGATCTGTTTTCCAGTTTAGATTCTATTCACATGAATGACATTGGTTACTTAAAACTTTTCTGAGCCTATTTTCTCATTTATAAAATGGAAATAACCCTGCCTGTGATAATGGATGCATAACACAAGACGTACTGGTTCCTTTGCTTTAAAGTTCTTTTCTTCAAAATTTAAAAGGAAAGTCAAAGAAGTTTCATGGGATTAATCCTTGGAAAAGACAGAAGAGTGGCCTAAAAGTGTTTCAGGGGGTTTCCAGATAGATCCCCAAAAGCTCATGGCCAGTGACAGTCCACTCCCCTGCTGTCCTTTACATGGACACTAAGAGTCCTTCTGGGAATCCTCCTCAGGCTGTGTGGCCACCCCTGCAATGCTGTAGACGGAGGCGGCTGCACTCCTTTCCTCCCAAAATGCATCAAGCACCGCCTCCTCCCATGTGTTGCTGCTGGCAGTGGGGAGGCAGGTTCGCTGTGAGCTGGTATGTGCCTGTAGTCCCAGCTACGCGGGGTGCTGAGGCAGGAGAATCATCTGAGCCCAGTTCTGGGCTGCAGTGCGCTATGCTGACTGTGCGTCTGCACGGAGTTTGGCATCAGTATGGTGACCTCCTGGGAGTGGGGGACTACCAAGTTGCCTAAGGAGGCGTGAAATGGCGCAGCTCAGAACTCCTGCGCTGATGAGGAGTACTGGATGCATTCCACCTGGAGCACCGCTGAGTGCGAGTGTGAGGCCTTCTGACTGAAGCCCTCTAGACAGATACAGTTCTTAATGGAGAAACGGTAAGGACGGCATTTTTGTTAACGGCCCATGACTACTTCCGTGTTAAGATGTATGGAAAAGAGATTAAAAATGGAACACAAACTAAGGAAGCAGAGAAATGAGTAGGTTCATTCGTTAAGAGATATGTTAATTTCAATACTTCCTGGTAGCTGAGGCAAAAAGACAGGTGAAGTCTTGAGTTCTCTTTGACAGAAGGGAAGCACTGTACATGGGCTTCCCTGGTGGCTCAGAAAATAAAGAGTCTGCCTGCAATGCAGGAGACCCAGGTTTGATTCCTGGGTCGAGAAGATGCCCTGGAGAAGGAAATAGCAACCTACTCCAGTATTCTTGCCTGAAGAAGTCCATGGATTCACAGAGAGGTGGACATGACTGAGTGATCAACACTTTAAGCACTATATGCTTTGGTCTGAAGTGGAAAACTTGGCTGGTCCTGAACTATCTTGTAATCCTCACTTCAAAGAACCTAACTGTTAATTGCGACATGTCATTTTACTTTTGCAAAAGGTGCTGTGTATTTTCTTCAAACAGGTGCATCATAAAATATTTGTCTGTGAAAGCAAAGGACATAACATTAGATAAATTAATAAGTGGGTAAAAGTAAGTAGTTCAGGCAGTAATCCTTTCTGATTTGGCCTAATTCTCAGATAAACTTTAGCAAAACAAACAAGATGGAGTTAACCTATTCCCTACATACTTTCTCACAAATGTTAGAAGTCTCACAAGCTTTTGGCAAGTATTAGATCATGTACACCATGACCATAATTTTTCACAAGTGGATAAAATTCTAATTCCTGTGTTGTTGCTATGATTTAGTTATTCCAAGAGACAGTTTCAAAATGGATATTCTTCTTTGAACTCTTAAGGACTGAAACCTATATTCTTAACTCTACCGTAAGACATACCTCTTTGGAGGCTTCTGGCAGTTTTCATTGGATCTTCAGTGGGGTCTCTGGCCTACAATTTTTTAAATGACTTTTTGCATTTTCTCAAATACTTGGATAGGAACCATGCTACACATAGGTTAGTTAGTTAAAAACAAAACAAATAGTAAAAATTCTTTACCACATAGAATAAGGAACTGGTTTACAAAAACATTTAAAAGCTGTAGTTATTCCAGTCAGTGACTTGACCCCAAATAAACCTTAACACTGATCCTGTAGAATGTGAACAAAACACACATGAAGGCTTCACAGGGTGATCATATACACATTCTCTGTCAAGCTGGTAACTCAACTCTCATTTCAAGATACACACTTAACCCAATGCCTTATGATGTATATCTTTTCTCAGCTTATTTTATGAAAGTGTCTTTAGGCTAAGTATCACTCACATTTAAACTCTGGACACTGCTCTGCTTTTTAATCTTTGACAACTTTTATAGTGCCTATCTTAAGTTTTCTACATCTACCAACTTAGTCTAATATGTGCAGGAATTATTTATGACTTAGTTATCACAAGTTGAATATTTTATTGTTTAAATAGTAATCATTAAATAACACACTTTGTAACATAATTAAATAATACATCTCTATTATTTACAGGCACATGGTAGCTTCTTCACTTTGACAAAGATGATAATTCTTCAGCTGAAAGTATTGGCAGAAAACAGATAAAATTACCCTATTAAATCTTCAGGAAGCAAACTCTTCAAACTTTCTTGATTTATGAAGTTGTTGAAGTACACAAAGGATGAAATAATATAAAATGCAACTACGTTTGGGGTCTCACACTAGGAGTGGTCTGTTAGCACTGATAAGTAGCTGTTAATATGATTGAAATATGTCCTTCCCTATAAATTTTCTCAAGGAATTTAAAGACTGTCTTAACATCTATTCACCAGAAAATATACCACACTCCAGCGACTGTGCACTACTTATGGAAGTAATCGTGACTTTACAGACTCTTCCTGGTTTTGGCTTTAGCTAACCATATGAATCAGGGAGAAGATACACCCACGCTCTGTCTTATTTTACATATCTAATGATCACCAAATCTTTAGCTCAGCTGGTAAAGAATCCACCTGCAAGGCAAGAGACCCCTGTTTGATTCCTGAGTCGGGAAGTTTCCCTGGAGAAGGGATAGGCTACCCACTTCAGTATTCTCGGGCTTCCCTGGTAGCTCAGATGATAAATAATCCACCTGCAGTGTGGGAGACCTGGGTTTGATCCCTGGGTTGGGAAGATCCCCTGGAGAAGGGCATGGAAACTCACTTCAGTATTCTTGCCTGGAGAATCCCCATGGACAGAGGAGCTTGGTGGGCCATAGCCCATATGGTTGCAAAGAGTTGGACACGACTGAGCAACTAAACACACACATGAGCAAAGTTCTGGGAAAAATTCTAAAATTAAAAAAAAAAGGGAGTTTGTAATTGAGTGGTGGATGGAATGAAGTGATCTTTAAGGTTCCTCTGGCTCTAATACTTAATGATGCCTTCTTAGCCTCATAAATGACTAAACAGGTTAGGATCATCAATGAAAATGATGGCCATGGTAGCAAAATACAATTAAATACATTAAAAAAAATATATTTTACCAAAGAAAATACCAAACTGTATTGACAAATATCAAGACATGAAAAAGAGCATGGTTAGATCATGAATTACAACTGTGCAATGTAAGGCATGTGAAAGTCAAGCATTCAAAGAAGAGCCACATATTAAGAGGCTTGTTAGACCATGAATTTGGTTATACTGTGGAGTCAATTATCATCCTGGGTGCATAAGTTTCTCTCTCTCTCCCCCTCATTATAACAAAGACAACTTAAAAGATGCTCTCCAATAACATGATTTCAGTGTCTTTAATTACTCATCTACACCAATGATCTTAGATCAAGCACAGGCAAAATATAAATTGCAGTAACATCTACATATAGTGTGAACATTTTTAAAAATAATACAAAGTTCATTCATAGTGCACAAGTAAAAACAAGGCTAAGTTTTAAATATTTAAACATAAAGCCATGATTATTCAAAAGGTAAGCATATTTATAAACATATTTCTATACTGCTGAAGTTCCTGAAACTACAGCATATACCAGCTTAGAGAACCAAAACTGAAAAAAAACAAAACACAAAACTTTGATCCCCTTTATTGGAAAACTAAAACATATTTCTTTTAGCACATAAATACATCTAAAATAAATAAAAATAAAATTATTGACTGGTTAAGGGATTTACCTTTTAAACCTACACTCTGAATCTTAATATCATATGCAAAATTCCCAAATTATAAGGTCAGGAAATACCACTCTCTGCAACGTTCCCTACTCATTATTACACTACTCATTTGTATCTGGAGGCTCAATAATTTGTGGGAAGGAGTGTGTTGGAGTAAAGCCTGGAAAGAGGGGATAATACAGAGAAAAGAGGACATAATTAAGCAGCTAAGAAAGGCTGACTGCTCCGCTTGTAACTACAGCTCAGCTGAACTATGGTTCAACCGTGAAGCTGCAGGAACTGCTCATTTCCTATCATTCACTGCCTACATAGCTTGATTTCTTAAATTGATACCTGGATTGAGTAAATTTTAGATACAATCTATTTACAGTTGTTCAGTCTTCAGTACAGAGTTTTGTTCATTCTATTCCTTGCAAATTCTGTGGTGCAATACAAAATGACTCCTGGTCTCATTAGAATTTAACTTTTATATACTGAATTTGTTTCTATTTGTTACATTTTTATACTTTTGTGTAGTGATTTGTTTGCATTTGAATCATTTGTGATTTCTGAACTACTGACACAACACAGTTTACTGTTGAAAATCTGAGAGGTTTTTTTTTTTTTTTCTTTTAAAACATCCAATTTTAAGAAATAGCTAGCTTTTGGGTGGGGAGGGAAGCATGCTTAGTGTGAGATCTGCCATAAAGGAAAACAATATATAATCCATGAAAGAAGTTATATTACCAAGTAGGACAGGGAACTGTCTGGACTCTAAAATGGGATTTTTAATAAAATTTTATTATTTATTTATATATTTAAATCACAAATACCAATCTCAAAGAAATGGAGACATCTCCTTTAACCACCCCTTCTTAAATTTATAGAAAGAGATGTAATAAAAGCACTGACTAACATCAGCCTTTTGCTTGGGGGAAATCTGTAGAAACACAGCTGAGCGCTTTTTTCCCTATCCATAGCTCACAGAAATAAACACGGTCCTTTTCCTTTCTTTTTAGAAATACATTTGTAGTTGTAAAGTTGCTGTGTTTTACAACTGCAAAAATATTAATTACTAACTGAATGATGTCTGCTTCAGTGAGGGTATTCACTCACTGGCCAGCACTAGTTAGAGGGAGTTAACCAGTAAGGTCACCTCTTAACCTTTGTACAGAACATCGGGGAACCCTATTCCCTCTCCATTCACCCACCCACCCACTGTCCCCAGGTCTGAAGGATACAGAAATGTTCTTGAAGACTCAGTTCCCAAATAAAATATATTGCTACTCTCTGCTTAAAACTGCATCTACATCCTATCAAACAGTATATAACAAATAATTCCTGAATTTTCAATTTCTGAAATATTTTGTGGTATCCTTTAACCTTGTATATTGTGTCAGATCTTGATAGAGATCACAATAAAGAATGTACTGATGTTAAATTTAAAAAAATGTGGGAACTATTACCAGAACATAATTCTAAGAAACTTAAAAATTAAGTAAACTGTAAAATAAAAACTGTCACAAAATGGGCACTTTTATTAGAATACTAAAGGTATAATGAAATGGCAGCAAGAAGCAGAGTTAAATGGCAAAGACATTGAAAGTCAAAAATGGCCTATTTCTTTGCTTTAAAGTCCTTTAGCCATTACAAAATATTAAAAAAAAAAACACATGAAAATGATGTGAGGATATTACCATAATTGAACTGCAATGAATTAAACTTTATATTTTTCTTTAAACATCCAGGGAAGAAGGGAATGGTCAACGTAATTCTAACTGTTGAAATAATTTCCATTTAAAACACAATTTTATGAAAGAAGGCTTTTCCTGAGGCTTCAATGAAATGTTGACAATAGTCTAAATGAATTAGTCAATTGATTATTCTTAATCTTCCCCATCTTACGTCACAATCCAACAGCTCTGTCAACAGGTTAAAAAAAAACCAACAAAAAACCACTGTCAACAAGAAAGCCTAGCTCAAGTATAAAACATCCAAAATGAATGAATTCAAATGGATAGAGAAAGTACAAAAACATCAACTGAATCAAATAGGTAAGCTGCTACTGACTTAGCTTCTAAGGCAACTTCTAAGCTGTCAATGAAGGGTTGAAATCTTTCACTGAATGTACACAGAATTGTAATACAAATTAACCTATTTGAAGAGTTTTTCTGTTAACTCACTTTCTTTCAAGTAAATATAAACTGAACTATCCTGGTCAAATAGCTTCTGTACACAGAACACTGCAGATACAGACAACAACTCAGCAGGTTACCATCATTTTATATACAATTGATAGCCTTTAGAAAATTGCCATAAGTTTTATTTCAAAACACCTAACATTCTTTCTCTGGAAAAGAAATTACATCCAGTAACGTTGGCTAATGAGTCAGTTGAACTCGTGCCACTAGAAATGAGACAACAAGCAGGAGTGCAAGTTTCTTATCTTCAAGGACAGCCTAATGGCCACACCACTTAAATTATCCCAGTTTCTCACTTTAATACAATAAAACAGAATGTTAATGGCATTTCCACTTTTCTTCCATTCAAAAGGTAGCTGACTGTTAAAGTGCCTCTAACACACATAAATCATTTTTATTCCATGACTTTATTTTATGTTTAGAAAGGCAGAATAGCAGAAGAACAAAAGGCAAGACAAAAGACTTTCGAGTTTTCTTTCTTCAGATGTATGCAGAGGTGATTATATGATGAGTAGGATTCTGTAAAAATAAACAGAATTTTCACTGGTAAATTTAGGTCTGGGGAGACAAATGTAAAATTTCTAAGTAAATTTTACTATTGTATGATCATAAAAATATTGAAGCTTAACTGCCTAAGTTGCTAGCTTCATTAAATTTAAAATATCCACCAGAACAATACAACAGTTTTTATCAAATATGATGTATGAATCAAAAAATATTGGAATTAATCTTCAGCAAGTATCAGTTATTCAAAATGATCAGGCTGAGTAACTACATGCATCTCAAAACTCACTGAGAAGAATACAAATTCCTTAAGATGCCTGGCAACTTTTATTAAATGGTCAAAATGAAGCAAGGCTACAGTTTCACCAGATTTATTCTTTTACTTTTTTTTTTCTAGCCTTGCCTGTGGCATGTGGTATCAGTTCCCCAACCAGGGAACCTATTGAACCTAGGCTCCCTGCATTGGGAGCACAGTCTTAACCACTGGACCACCAGGGAAGTCCCAGATTTATTCTTTTAAGTGGATTTGCAGTATACAAAATAGATCATCTGTCCAACTCACAGATAAATGTAACAGTTCACAGAGCCATGAATGTCAAGGGGTGGGAAGTGCCCTAGAGAGCAGAGACAAGTAGGGAACAAAATAAGCTGGGACTGTTTTCCGGTACACAGTCTGCCTCGTAGGACTGTCTCAGCCTTCACCTGGGCCAGACACTTTGGCAGGAAAAGGCATGTTCCTGGCAGCAACAATCACTCCAGATGTCACACTGACCAGCTTAGGTAAGTGACACTGACCTGGTTGGCTCTGGGCTTCCTTATTTCATTAAAGAGATGGAAATGTACCTGATATTTTCAATTGGGTTTCTGTGAATTCCAACCCCCCAAAAAACTATATTTGTAAACAAAAGTATCAAGCAAACTCTGATGCTTATGAAGAGAATCTCCAAATCCAGAAGATTCTCAAATGTTTCTAACATTACCTACTGATAGTAAGGAACTATGACAATGAGGAAGACATCATAACATTTCATGGTTTTAAAAGAAAATATTCGTACACTGAAACTGTATAAAATGTTTACGAGCATAGATACTTAAAAACACTGAATTATTTTTGGCCTGTGTGAAAGATGATTAATATTTAGTTTCTAGACACATTTTTGCATACATCCATATACCTGTCTTAGCTTATGAAAGAGAAATAAACAAAGTAACAAAGCATTATTCTAAAGCTTTTTACTCCTTCCTCTCTCATGCATTGCTGGTGTACCATTCTATGTGATATTGGTCTAAGCTGTGCTTCCTTTTTCTAGCTTGCTTTCTCAAATATATTGCCTCGACAGTACAAGAAAGTAGGCAGGCTGATTTAAGGGCCTTTTCTGAACACAGTGCAGCTAGGGAGAAAAACCTTCACGTTTCTACTCCGTTTACTTCTGTGTTGCAAGCTGTCTACAGAGCAAGGACTCACAAATAAAGTGAGTAATTAAATATTTTAAATAAGTGATAAGGTCTAAATTATAGCATTTTCCTTTTCTCGACTTATTCAATAAAAGACTTTCTAATTATATTTTTTCAGCAATAATTAGCAATTAACTCTGCTATTAAGGGAAGTCTTCAAATATAATATTTTATTAGGCACTGCTTACAATGCCACACTACAGAATTAGACAAGAGCCCACACATTCAGAACAGCCCTAAGTTCTACAGCTGTCAAGTTATTTTAAATTGAAAAAGTTTATTTAAATGTTTTTAAATGCTGAAAATAAGATTAAGAACAATTATTAAAATTTTTAGTCAACCCCAAATAAAAAGATTTGCAAGTGAACATATATGTGATTATTTACTGAATACGAACAATGAGAAAATGAGTGCAACAGTTCAATTCTTTATAAACAGAAAACCTATAAGCTACCAGCATATCATGAAACATTTTAGCTTTGTTCACCTTTTTTCTGTTCAAAATGAGTTCTAGGGGAGATTTTTAGTTCAGCCACAAGGCGATCAAGTTATTCAAAGGAACACCATACATAAAAACTGTAGAATCTAGTTTTGGAAATTCCTGCTTTTTAAATTATTCAATTACATTAAGATTATTATTAAGGAGTAAGTAGGATATAGTTAAGCAGAATGATAAACTATTAAAGTAAGTTTTAAATATAAATTTTGCATTTAGACAGTACCAATGCAGTAAGAGGTTTTTTTACTCACTTATTATAATTTATTTCTCCTGATGAAGAGCTTCAATAAATGCATCAAGTTTTTCTTGAATTTCTCTAACTTTTTCTGTAGATATAAAAAGATAACAAATTAATTAAAAACAAATTTATTTCTTGAAGGCAATGGTTTGGGATACTTGAACTACTTAGGAAAAGGGGAAAAATCATCTTCACATGACACACCATCTGATATCCAAACGAAGTTCAAACAGATTATAGCAATAGCCCTTCTAATAATTTTTTGGAAAGGGGAAGAGTGTAGGGGACAGATCCTTTTGAGAATCTAATAAATGTTGCAGATTCTTACGCAGAAAAAGGCAAATATAGATATAGATACACATGCAATTATGTGTAGAACTTTAAGGAGTTGTTAAGATTCTGTGAGGTCTAACCAAGGACTGACAGTTAGCATTATCTGGAACAGAGGAAAATATAAAATAATAAAACCAATTTTTTAACATTAGAAGAGAATACAAGTGAGTATATAACTGGCCTTCAACTAGGAAATGACTTTCTAGGTGTGAAGTAACAGGAAGTTACAAAGATCAACCAATATGACCACATTAAAATGTATATTTTATATGTCAAAACGTCCTAACACTGAAAGACAAAAAAGAAACTGTAGGAAGTACGTTCAACAAAAATGAAAAAGTCAGTAACACTTAAAAAAAAAAAAGTACTTTTCTTTCTGTGAATGAGGAAAGGAAAGTTTAAAAACACCAGAGCCACTGAAGACAGATTTACATTATTTTATTTGATTTCAGGTTTTCACTTTAGGTGTTCAAATAAAATCTACAAATTCTCTCTGAAATATAAAAATTTCCTTCAAAATGTATTCACATGGCATGCCAACCCCCTAATATTAAAAGCAGAAAGAATCATGATTTATTCTACTTCACTGCTAACTTAATCATGCAGCTCCTATTTTAAAACACAGGTTAGGCATGCTATTGAACTGTGGTGCTGGAGAAGACTCCTGAGAGTCCCTTAAACAACAAGGAGATCAAACCAGTCAATCCTAAAGGAAATCAGCCATGAATATTCATTAGAAGGACTGATGGCTGAAGCTGAAGCTCCAATACTTTGGCCACCTAATGCTAGGAAAGATTGAGGGCAAAAGGAGAAGGCGGTGACAAGAGGATGAGATGGTTGGATGGCATCACTGACTCAAAGGATGTGAGTTTGAGCAAACTCCAGGAGATAGTGAAGGACAGGGAAGTCCGGCGTGCTGCAGTCCATGGGGTCGCAAAGAGCTGGACATGGACTGACTTAGTGACCGAACAACAATAGTAAGCATGATAACAAGTTCTTTTATCCTGTTAACGTAATATGTTCGTGAGAATTATCTATTAAAGTGAAATGACTGGTTCAAAGTTGGTGACCTAAAGGCAAAACTGCAAAGCCTTCTACCTTCTATTCTTACTCTTACGAAGTTTATATTTTTTTCAGCTTTTCTTTTTTATTTTTTAAAAACTGAAATATAATTGATTTACAACATTTGCATCTTTTACATTTAAAAATAAATAATCTGCAATCAAAGATATAAGTATCCTTTTCTATCAATGAGATAGCATTTGTGATGAGTAGCCAATAAAAAGGACTGTTCTTTTGGTAAATTCTTGTCAGCACTGCAGTAACTCAACGTAGCCTACCAGAGTTGTATATAAAGAATGCAATGTTTTCATTTTCTTTTTCCAGTAATTTAGAACTTCTAATTCTTAGTACTAGACTGAGATGAATACACACCAAAAAAAAAAAAAAAAAAAAAAAGCCAGGGCAGAGGGATCCCCTAATATTTTAAACAAATTATTTACTGAGAAAATATGTTACAGGTAAATATAAACAAGAATTCCTTGCTTCTATCTAAAAAAATCAAACTCTTGGAAATTTAGTTTGTACTTTTTGTAGTCTTTTTTTATGGGGGGTTTTGTTTTTTTAACTAGCAGTCAAGCCAGTAAACATCCTTCCTTTCACAAAATAAGGCCACATTTTTATTTTAAAAATTATTTCAAACAGTTACTTAGAAACAGTTCACCTATCTTCTTCACTGAACATTTACAGAGTTTCAGATACTATAGCTCAGTTGAAGACTTTCTTTAAAGGAGGCTGGGAAATAGGGGGAAAAAAGTTTTCTAAATCATCTCATACAATTTTGGAAATGGATGAGGTTTTTAAAAAATCATCTAGCTTAAACAGCACAAAATATGGAAATCTCAAACAAGTGTTCAGAGCCTTAGCAGCTCTCTGAACACTGTACTGAGAACTACTTCTACGTGGGAAAACTGCATTAAATCACCGTCTATCTGCTCCATCATCTGAGTACAATCAGGCAGCTGAAGGGCCAGCTCTATCTGTCCTTTGCCCTGTCAATGACCTCTATGCTCAGCTGGACAGACTATCTGTGAGTGTGTGGGACAGGAGCATCACTCACAAGAGACTTCACAGCAAGATCGACTTGTATTGACAGAGACCAAGAGCCACTCTGATGCATGTGCCTAACTGTGGAATCTGAATCAAATTCAAATTCTTCTAAAATTCAAGATAAGTGATGTTTCTCATAAATTAAAGTTTTTAAAAAAACTAATTATATATGAAAACCACAGAATAGAAAATTACCAACTTTCCCTTTGAAAAGTTGTTTTTACAAAATATTTTACCACTGGAATATCAAAACACTGTACCTCTATGCCCTGAAACCTCAAGAATAACACAAAGAACATTAGTAAGTAACTAAGAAGTTAATGGGAGGAAACGAGAGAGAAGAGGATGGAGGTAAAAGTTGAAAGAAAAAAGAATAACTGTGATAAATGTTTCCTTTTAATACTAAATTGGAAAACTCATTTCTTCATTTGCTCCTTCACTTATATAATGTACTTACTGAAGTGACATGGGGACATATGATACCCTGCCTTTAAGAAGAATTCCTTGCTTACCTTCTACCTCTCTCTAAGTCTGTAAGTGTCTACTATATTTTGTGTGATTTCAGATCCCACATTTCATTTGGTCCTCATATAACCCCATATATTTCACTGCCAAAGATGAGGCTATTAAGCCTGGAGAGTTAGCCTTGTCCACATTCCTCCACTTCAGAGACATATACTAGATCTACTACCATATGCAGACTCTAAATGGTAACAAAACAAATGCTATTATTGCAAGTGTATTTGTTGCAAGTTTTGCCTGCCTATTGTGAAACAAGATATTTTGATAATAAAAATAGGGAATAAGATAGTTACTGAGCACCTCCTAAGTAGTTCTGTGTCTAGAAATGTCTAAAAAAATGAATATTATGCTATCATAATATGAATATTATGATAAGATGAGTATTATTACTTCTTCCTCTTGAGATTAAAAGGAGACCTTTGGAGAACAATCTAAGAGCAGGAAACTGGACCAAATGTCTACAACAATGTCTGACTTACTATACATGCTCAATAAATATTTGATAAATGAAGTTACCAGAAGTATGGCATGGAGAATGACGGCTACAGGTTATCAAGAGGGGGGAAAGAAGCACTTAATATGCTTCCAGGATGTTATGCCAGGATCACAAGAGCTAGAGCAAGTCTGGGAACAAGAGGCAGGTTAAACGTTGACAATGAAGAGCTGGTGGGCTCCCAACAACACACAACAGAGAATACTCAGGTCTTAGAACACAAAAGCAATTGGTGGGGGAGGGGAGGGAGGACTTAATTATTACACCTTATTTAAGAAGGCTAAAATATGATGATTATACAAGCACACACAAGCATGATTTCAAGCTTTGCAAGGAAGTTATATTACAAATAATAAGGAACATTATTTTGCATATTTGAATTAATTTTAAATTCTGATGTAAAGTTCCAGCAATATCTTTTATCTGGCTGCACAGAAAACTGAGTTATGCATAAAAATCAAGTTGGAATGTTAGCAACTAACACTTTCCACTTTCTGATCCTTCAAACTAACGTCTCACTATTACAGTGTTTTCAAACCCCCAAATCTTAATGGTATTTAATTTATCAACATTAGAACTTACTTTCCCATGGAAAAATGTGTATATATTAGCAAGGCTAATTATAGAGCAAACTCCTTTTTCTATTAAATATTTGCATTAAATATTTACATAGCTAGAGAATTCTTATAAATTTGTGATTTACTTGATAAACTAAACCAACTCAGGAAGGGATTAACAAACTGCTATTTCTGTACACTGAAACAGCCAATTCCACATGGAGTGAATACGGAGTCTACTTTCCATTTATCCAATGTTTACTTAAAAGATGAACAATTTCAAACATCAATTCATTGTGCTTCTTGATTGAGTCATGAATATTCCCATAATCCCCAACTCATAAACCATCAGTCTTAGTGAATGAAGTTCCTTCTCTTTTTTCTTTTCTTCAGATGACTTGACACCCATTCATGTTTAGGGTCTCTTTATCTCTACATGAAATGATACCACTACTCTCATTTTCTTTTTGAGTCTTCTGATACTTGCTCTAAAAGTCTCAAAAACACACTAATCTGTAATTAGGTTTTGAATACACTGTGAATCCAAAAGGCCAAACCCGGGAGAAGGTTCACTTCAGTGGGTAATAACAGTTTAGAACAGGAACAAAGAATCACACACAAAACACTACCACATGAACCGAAATAAACCTTTTACAACTTTTGATGTTTTTAGAGAAAGCATAGAGAAATGAGCTGCAAACTTATGGATGCAGTGTATTTTACACAAGCACACATCCAAAGATCCAAATGTTCCTTAAGAGAACTGTTTCATAACACACTGCGTGCACGTTTTCTACCAAGCTTGGGGACACCTTGTAGGTGAAATTTTGCTATAAAAAGCTATTGACTAAGGGACTGAAAATTAAAGGAACACTTCTTATTATGTTACATATGCTGTTCCTGAACAGGCTTGCTTTTTATTAGACAATTACACTGTAAGTGCTCTTTAGAAATTTAGTGTTTAAAGGAATCATCTAGGGAAACAAGGAAAGAAAACCAACCAAAAACAAGTGAATTGAGACCAGATTCAAGATTCTCAAAACTACAGTCAAAATCTTAGACTTAGCACCAGAA